AAGAAAATAACACAAGGGACATTGTTCCTTGTCCTCCAAATGTCCGTCCAATTGGATGTAAATGGGTTTATTCAATTAAACTTAATTCTGATGGAACTCTTGATCGGTACAAAGCTCGATTGGTGGTCCTTGGCAACAAACAAGAGTATGGTGTAAACTATGAGGAGACTTTTGCATCTGTAGCAAAAATGACTACGGTGCGAACTATTATTGCCATTGTTGCATCACAAAATTGGCCTCTTCATCAAATGGATGTCAAAAATGCTTTTCTTCATGGTGATCTCAAAGAAGATATTTATATGAAACCCCCACTTGGTTTGTTCTCATCACCTACATCAGATGTATGCAAGTTGAAGCGGTCTTTATATGGATTAAAACAAGCTCCAAGAGCTTGGTTTGACAAGTTTCGGTCTACTTTGCTTCAATTCTCTTTTGAGCAGAGCAAATATGATTCATCTTTGTTTCTTCGAAAAACATCTGCAAGTTGTGTTCTTCTTTTGGTGTATGTAGATGACATTATTATCACAGGAATTGATTCTTCACTAATCACTAGCCTCCAGCAGCAGATTAAGGATTCTTTTCATATGAAAGATCTTGGTATTCTTACATACTTTTTAGGGTTAGAAGTTCATTATAATTCTTTAGGTGTGTTCTTGAACCAACACAAATATACTCAGGACTTGCTTGCTTTGACTGGTCTTCAAGAATCTTCCTCTGTAAATACTCCATTGGAATTGAATGTAAAGTACTATCGTGCGGAAGGAGATCTTCTTCCTAATCCAACTTTGTATCGGCAATTAGTTGGGAGCCTAAATTATCTTACTATTACTCGGCCTGATATCTGTTTTGCAGTTCAACAAGTGAGTCAATTTATGCAGGCTCCACGCCATCTACATTTGGTGGCTGTCCGTCGCATCATTCGATATCTCTTGGGAACATCTACTCGTGGATTATTCTTTCCTAGTGGTTCTGAGATTCAACTTAATGCATTTAGTGATTCTGATTGGGCTGGATGTCCTGATACTCGTCGCTCCGTCACGGGTTGGTGCATGTTTCTTGGAGATTTCTTGATATCTTGGAAGAGCAAGAAGCAAGACCGTGTATCAAAATCTTCCACTGAATCTGAATATCGAGCAATGTCTACGGCTTGCTATGAGATTGTTTGGCTTCGTGGTTTACTTGCAGAAATTGAATTTCCTCAATCTAATCCTACTCCCCTCCATGCTGACAACACAAGTGCTATTCAGATTGCTACTAATCCAGTTTATCATGAAAGGACCAAACACATTGAAGTGGATTGTCATTATATCAGAGAAGTTGTAGATAAGAGAGTCGTTACTCTTCCACATGTATCCAGTGATCTTCAAATAGCTGATGTGTTTACAAAATCTATGGCACAACAACGTCATCAGTTTCTGGTAGGCAAATTGATGCTTTTTGATCCACCGGCATCAATTTGAGGGGGATGTTAGCATGATTGGACAGATTCTTAATATTTGTACATATCTATGTTATAACTCTAAATATTTGTGTAATGATGATAGGAGATAGCATAGATTAATGTAGCATATTTTCAGAGATATTACAATTAGGAATAGCATATATTTAGGGATATATATGTAAATCAAAATTCTTTCTATTTAATGGAAGAACTCTCATTTGAGAGAACTCATTCAGCAAAATTGACAATACTCACATCGAGTATTTTGCAGACGCCGATTGGGCTGGATCCAAGATTGATAGAAGGTCTACTACTGGCTATTGTGTTTTGTGGGTAGAATTTTGGTGTCATGGAGAAGTAAGAAACAAAATGTTGTATCTTGATCCATTGCAGATTCCGAGTATAAAGCTATGGCACAATCCACATGTGAGATTATGTGGATACATCACCTCTTAAGTGAAGTTGGGTTGAAGTATCCCACACCCGCGAAACTTTGTTGTGATAATCAAACTGGTCTTCATATTGCCTCAAATCAAGTGTATCATGAAAGAACTAAGCACATTGAGGTGGACTGTCATTTTATTCGTGAAAAGATTCAAGAAAATCTGATTTCCACAGGCTATGTGAAGACTGGAGAGCAACTAGCTGATTTGTTCACAAAGGCGTTGAATTGAGCTCGGGTTAACTATTTGTGTAACAAGCTAGGCATGATCAATATATATGCTCCAGCTTGAGAGGGAGTGTTACAAAATATTGTAAATACATTCTATTACCTTATATAGATAGGAGAGATCTGTAGGAATCATAAGAGATATGTAAGATATTTTCTTATCTTTGATGATGCTTCTTTCTAGTGTATATATACATGTAACGTTGATATAATAAACAAGCAGTTCAGTTCTGTAAACTACATGAATATTTGGGATGCCCTATCCATGTTATGAAAAAAAAATCCACTTGGTTGCTTGGAACAAAATGTGTTATCCTACAGAAGAGGGAGGGTTGGGCATAAGACAACTATCTGAGATATCCAAATCTTTCATTGCAAAATTATGGTGGTTGTTCAGAACTCACAACTCTCTCTAGTCTACTTTCCTGATGATTAAATACTGCAGCAGAAAACATCCAGTTTCTAGAACAGGTGAATCTAAGATCTCTGGACCTCGGAGAAACCTAATAAACATCAAGAACGAGGTGGAACCTAGTATCTTGTGGAGGATAATAAAGGTAACTCTTCATTCCTCAGGGACAATTGGACAGGACTTGGGGCCATTGCCAATATTTATAATAGTAAAATTGACTAGAAACCTACTGTTGCTAACTTCATCATGGAATATTACTAAGCTCAAACAGTTCCAACCTGGAAATTTTGAAGTCTCGTCAGCTTGGAGGAGCTTGAGACAGAGTCAAGGTATCGCTCTTACTAATAAAAGTCTTTGGCATAAGGCTTTACCTTTCCAGTTTTCTTTTTTTAATTGGAAGCTCCTAGAGAACAGAATTCCTATTGATGACAATGTCAAAAAGAAAGGCGTTTCTCTTCCTTCAAGATGTGAATGTTGTGAAAACTACTGCAATGAGAATTTGGAGCATCTTTTCAAAAGAAATAATTTCAGCAAGAACATCTGGAATGTATTCAGGTATCAGTTTGGTTTAGAGGAGGTTGGTGGAGGAATCAATCAAGAGATGATGGTATGGTGGACTGCTAAAACCCATAATCCTATTCACAAAATTATGATTCAAATTATGCCTCTTCTTATTAGTTGCCAGATATGGAAGGCTAGATGCAAGAAGAGGTATGAACAAGTCAGACTTTATATGCCTAGAGTGGCCCACGTAATTAATGTTGATGCTATTCATGCACAATCAGTTTAACCAGATAGATAGCAACATCACTTCGAATCATATGATGTATATTTGTGACAATGCTAGACCCAAACTTAAAATTCTCAGAACATCCTGGACTTTCCCCCCTTCTAGTATGATTAAACTCAATACTGATGGATGCTCCAAAGGCAATCCTGGGGCATGTGGTGGTGGGGGAATTTTCAAGGGTCATCACGGGGAATTTGTCTCAGCTTTTCGGCCCCTTTGGTATCCAACAATGTTGCTGAGTCTTTGGCTCTGTCTATTGGAATTGAATGGTGCAAGGAAAATGGTATCAACATGGTCATTGTTGACTTAGATTCCTCATTGGTTATCAGTTGGGTTACTGGCAAGATGAAACCACCTTGGAATCTAAGACATTCAAATACACCCTTTTTTTAGACATGTTGGACTTTTGGACATTTGAAGAAAATATGATGAATGATTTCCTCAATTAATGAACAATAAATTAAATGACGTGATAGGGAGAGGAGGATGTGAAAAGAGGAGAGTAGTCATGGGTAACCTTTGGCAGGGTAAGAGAAACATAGGGCTTTGCATATGTATGGGTGTCTGTAATATCCAAAGACATGCCTGGATTTCGTGATCCATCTCAGAGAGTATGGTGTGGAGAAGGAAATGGTAAGCCAATTTGATGTCAAAATAACAATTAGGATTAGGGAACCAACCAAAGGTGTTTGTACACGAAACTGGTGAAATATAGGTAGCACGAAAAAGCACAGAGACTATAGGAGGTATGTTAAAAGTAAGTTGGGTGAGGTCCCAAGTATTCTGTAGGAGTGAAGTGTAAATAGTGAGGGGTTGAAGATCTTTTGGAATTGATCTAATAAGGAGATTGATGGAAGCAAAATTAGTAGGTACCCAAATGTCCTTCAATAAATTGATTAAATTCCAAACAAGGACGGAGCTACGGTGGTGCAAGGATGGTTAGTCAAATATCCTTCACCGGAAAATTACGTTGTATATATCGGTCAAATTTTACTTTATATTGGTAAATAGAACATTTTGAACACCGTTTGATGCAATAGAGAGCAGTGGCTTAGCAGCAAGGGTAGGCACAAAGCGGCATGGCATCCTATTCGATTCCTAGCGTCCACATATTTGTTTTATCATTTTGTATCCTGCCATTTTGCTTCACTCAAGTTCGATTCGGATGTCCACATTTTTCTCATATAATTTTTGGTGCACCCAATCATCGGGTCGGGAAGGGGGGGGGGGGATAATAATTTAATTATCATCCAAAGTTTGAACACCCATTATAAAACTTTTGACTTCCAAAACCTATATTCTAATGGATGTCAATCTTAAGAAATTGTAGTCCAAGCTTTTCCAAATATGGGATTCTTTTCCGTTTGAACAAAATTATTATCAGTTAATAGAGACATTTTTGATCCATTAAGCAACAATGTGAATTTTTTAGAACCAAATTTTAGCGGAAAGAAAACTTTTTGACCAAATTATTAAGGATAACACATTTTGAAATCAAACTATTGATGAAATACAAGTTTTTGTTCAACTGTACCTAACACATTTATGACTATTTTCCATTTTTGTAAACAATTATGTCATGATTGAATCAAAGTGGACCAAATTATCCCCATTTATTACTCATTTTTCCTCACATTGTAACGGAAAGGGGTGCACTAGATCTGAGTGACATTACCTGAAAATTATAATGGATTTCGGCGAGAAGATAGCCATGGATTCTGGCGAAAACATAGAAGAAACAACAACAGCTGTAGACCGAATCAGTCAGTTGTCGGACGATCTTCTCCTTCACATTCTCTCTCTTATGCCGACCGAAGCCGCACTTGTGACAAGTGCTCTCTCAAAAAGGTGGCGCTATCTTTGGAAATCACTTGATAGTTTCTCTTTTAGTACATTTGGTAACTATGAGTGGTATGTATCCTATGTTGATTATGTATTAGGTCATTCAGTTTCTCCCAAAATTAAAAAGTTTCAACTCGATAGTAATGAGCCGGATGCATACAAGTCAGACATGGATCGATGGCTTAGTTTTGCTATTGAAAAGAAAGTGGAAAATTTGAAAATCCAGTCAGTCTCTGAAGAAGAGGTTTATGCATTGCCGGAATGTTTATACACCTGTTCGTCGTTGATAACACTAGTTGTGGGATTCTGTTCTTTTGATGCTAATGTGGCTGTAGCATGGAAGTCTCTAAAGAGCATAAAATTGAAGTGGATGGTGTTATCTAATGACCATATTGTGAACTTATTGTCGGGATGTCCTATATTGGAAACTATGGAATTATTTCGTTTTAAGGGTTTTAGTCGTTTGGAAATTAGGTCTTCAAAATTGAAGAGACTAAATTTGATAGCATACAATGATGATGAACTTGATCATTCCTTGGAAATTGTTGCCCCCTATCTTCAGCATTTGGAGATTTGTGAAAGTCTTTATGGTTTCAAGTGTAGGCTTGTAGACGTATCCTCCTTGGTTAATGCTAAGCTTACGTTCGAGATTACATGTATCAAAGACATCTAATATTTGCTTGATGAAGAAATTGATGATGACGAAGAGAGTTGTCGTGGCTATCATCAAGGTTTTATGATTCTGGTGTGGGATTATCTTCAAAAGCTGAGTAGTGCAAGCAAGATAACAGTTGGAACATGGTTCATAGAGGTTTGTTTTAAACTCAAAAGTCTTTATTTTCTCTCATTGATTATTAGCAGACAGTTGCAGATAAACATTATACAATGGAGATTTGTATACTCAATCCATTAAAGCAACTGGATTAATTGTAAAAAACTTGTGGAGAAGGGTAGAGGGGTGGGCTTGTTCTCCACTGACTTTCAAACCATGGGCCTCTGACCCTCGCGGATTTCTTGATTAAAAGAACTGAGTTAGAGAATTTTGTGGACCTTTATGCAATCCGTTTGCCAATTTTGTGAAGTTGGGTATTTCTTTTATCATATCGCCAAAGTTATATCTAGACACCAGGATTTTCATACATTGATGTTGCTTAAAGTGTTTAGATAGTTTATTTGTCACAACACTACATCTGTTGTGGAGTACTTTCTATCTGTTGTTTTTTGTTGCTTTCTCCGGTTTTTTCATTGGTAATACTGCACCAGGTCCTGTGCATGTTGCAGTTCAAAGGGGTGTGAATTCCAGAATTGAAATGCAAGTATTTGACGCTGGAGTTGCATAAGAAAGAGTTAAGTGTGTTTGGAGCAGCTGGCCTTTTGCGAGCATCACCTCATGTTGAGTGTCTCAACATAGACATAAGAGCTATGCATGTAACTTTCTGTTGCTTTGTATCTTCTTTTTACATAATTTTTATGAAGCTTTGCCTTTTTGCCTTTGTACATCATTTTACACAATAGAAAAGAGTTAAGTGTGTCGGGAGCAGCTGGCCTTTTGGCCTACCTCTCCCTCTTCTAAGGCCCACCACGGCCAACCTCTCACTGGGGCATTTGCACATCTCCTCTACACTTGCACGAACCATCTCAACACAAATATATCCTTACCTGTCATTAAGAGACTTTGCTTATGTCACCGTATAGCTTCGTGATTGCTTTCTTGTGAAAAATGTGTTATCAATTTTTGGCTACCTACATCATGAGTCTCTTTATGAAAAGAATAGCCATTATAATCATTTTCAGGTATCATTAAATTTGTTGGCTCTGAAATTTATTTTTACCGGAAATTTCTACTTCAAAGTTTTCTTTGTCAACTTTTCTGCAATTTCCATTAGGCTGCCATGTATTTGTCCCTGATCGTATTCTGTTTCCAGCCTGATGCTACCTTCTGCTGCTTTGGGTTACAAGATTTGGTCAAAGAAAATAATATCAATTTGCAGAGATGGATTTCAATCTTTGTGCTTCCCAACCTCAAGAATGTTAAGATTGTCATCTCCTCCCGGATATGCTTGATAAATCATCTCAACTGGTCCTATGCCAAGAATCTTTTTGAACTTTCAGAATTTTTGTTAAAGAATGCATTAGTTTTGGAGAAGTTTGTTATCATATCAAAGAGAAGAAGGTGCGAGAAATGTTCAATGAACTGTGCGTACAAATATTTATTTCCATTGGCTGAGAAATTGTTAGGTTCCCCAAGATTATCCACCAATTCTGTGATTATCTTCCGGGAGTGAGCACTGAGCTTTCCATGACTGGGCTCCAAGTAGTTCTCCATCTCAGGGTACAAGAAATGTTGACTCTTATTTCGAGTGTTTGATAAGCTTCTCCTTGCAATCATGAATCCTTAACTTCTATATGTAACTAACTACTATTCTCTTGGACATACCCTTGTGTCATCGGAAATGTTACTGTTGCTTGGTTTCTCATGAAGCTTTTATTTGTTGCATTTTGGATGTTGTACATGTGCATTGAAATGGTTCCCTTTGTCAATAGCATCAAGGTCCTTGATTGTGAAATGGTTCCCTTTTTCGATTTTTTCTTGGAAGAATGGGATTGCATTCTGTGTTTACCTTAATGATTTTAGCAGTTGTGATTGAGGCTTACTGTGCTATTGAATCTTTGTATTTGACATTAAGGTCATAATAAGAAGCTCTCCGTTCTTCAAGTAAAATTTAGTTATCTGGGACAACTTACAAGGGGTTGTGAAATTTTTTATGGAACAACAGCTCTCTTGATAAATGTTGTCAGTAGTAGTTTGGTTTATGTCACCCCCCCCCCCCCCACGCTTTTTTAACAAAACTACTGTTCTGCATTTTCGATTCCTCTGATATTACCACACTCATGCAAAGTGGACATGTTGTTATTCGATCTCCCTTCATTACTTAATTCTTCAAACAGTTTTTACAAAAGATATGCTTACAAGTTTGCAGTTTTCAAGTGACACCTGATCAGAATACCCCCTAAGCTTATTTCTTCTGAATTGAGGCTTTCAAGAAATACTATACTTAGTTTGCAGTTTGCATTATGTGTTTACCTTAACGATTTTAGCAGTTGTGACTGAGGCTTACTGTGCTATTGAATCTTTGTATTTGGCATTAAGGTCATAATAAGAAAATCTCTATTGGAATTGTTTCAAGACATAGGGACTCTAGCAAAGTGGTAAGTAAAAGTCACCCTGTGAGTCAATGGATCATATACTTGGAGACAAGAATAGGGACATTCCTGACTCTTTATAACGTATTACGTATACACATGTTGAAAGAATGAAGTCTGGTGACAACATAAGGGACCTTCTCTAATTTAGTCTCATATTTTTCAGTATCGTAATCTAATGTAGCATGTCTTTTATGGTTTTTTCTTGATAAAATTTAAAATTGTTTCAACCAATGTAATCTAATCTATTAAATTTTTTATGGTTTATTTTTGTATTTTTTCTTTAAAAGATTTGGTATTATAATTCAATATAGTATAGACATTCCTTTATATGGTTTTATGATGTGGTCGATTTGGTATAAATTTTAATCCTTTTCCAATTTTTCAACGTAATCTAGTATGATTGTAATTTATGTTTGTACTATGGCAATCCGATTTAGTGTGTGTATATATACTAGTTCTAGATACGTGCATTGCACGTAAGTTCTTGTCAAGTGGTACAAACTGTGTAAATCAAAATTAAACCAGAATGTAACAAACATCAAATATTGTGAAAAGAAAATTTGAAGACGTATAACGACTTACTAGAGTTGTGTTGTTGAAACAGAGGATGAGATAAAAAAAATTAGATGTTTAGAGGCTCCATCAAAGTCATTTGGAGTCGGACACAGAAAACTCCTAAGCACGCATCTTGTATGATTCAAGGCAAACAGAACCAAACAACATTTGCATTTGTAGAAATCAAAATCTAGTGAAGATAAGTCATTTAATTGGCTTACTATTTGATCGACACTGTTGAAATCATCAAGCTTACACTTGTTGGTGGCAGTGTTGTTCCTATCTACGGTGGAAAGCAGATGCATTCCGGCAAAATCAGGTGGTAGATAATTTGTTGCTTGAATTGGAAAAGAGAGCAGATAGGAATAAAGAAAGGCAGAGGAATGTGAAAAATGTGAGGGAAATAAATTAATTAATTCCGGCCAAAAATGAGTTTTTTATTAAAATATTTGTTCATAATTTTAGTTAAATAAACAATCGTTAAAATATCAAATGATAAGGGAAAATGTTCACTATTTACAAACTTTAATGAGTAAATTAGTTTTATATATATATATATATATATATTTAAGTGATTATTTTGAAGTACCTCAAACATAAAAGAGCATCTCTAATTGTGTCACATATTTTCCGGTATTGTAATCTGATTTGATATACATTTTTTATGTTTTTTTTTTAAATATTTTAAGTTGTTTCCACCATTGTAATATGATCTATTCAAACTTTTATGGTGTATTTTTGTATTTATTATATATACAAAAAATTGGTACTATAGTTAAATATTTTATAGACTAATTTCTTTTATACTAATTTATGAGGCAGCTGATTTGATACAATTTTTAATTGTTTCTCATTTTGCAATGCAATTTAGTATGATTTTAGTTTCTTTTTCAACTATTGCAATCCGATCTAGTTTTGAAACACGTGTGATGTACGTGTATCTCATGCTTACTATTATAAATACATTAAAAGCACAAGAATTTGAACTAAATTTTTTTGCCCAAATAAAACATAGAATTTTTTATTAGAAAATTAAATTAAGTTCAACAAAGAGAAAACACGCAAAAAATAATGCATTTCGGCAAAATCAGGTGGTAGATTTGTTGATTAAATTGATGAAGAGAGCATAGAGGAACAGAAAAATGAGGAGTGTGAGAATTGTGAGGAATATTGTAACATCTCGCTAATTGAAGGAACTAGAAAGAAGTTAAAATTTGAAAATAGTCATTTTTTGGAAAGACAATAAAGATCTGGAAAATTTGTCAAGTGCGTTGAGTAGAGTTTTTGGTCAACTTCAAACAACCATAAATCCTAGCTCGGGATGAATTAGGTGTGTTTCCAGATACCCTAGGAAATATCTTAGAATAATCTTTCCAACGCCGCCGAGTTTGAACGATTCCGAGTTCGTATGAGTGAGATATGCCCATTGAAAGTTGGGTTGTTCAATTAAGGAAAGTCTAATCCGGGTTTTTGAAGGGCATTATGGTCTTTTCCATACCCCATAACTTAATTTCGTTTTTTGGTAATTAATTGGGATCTAAACTGATAGGATTCAGTCTATGCTTTTACCATATTGGGTTAGGGTTTTAGAGAAGAGAAAAAAAAAGAGGAGAAGGAGCAAGAATCGTCAAGATCTTCAAGAATCGCTTGTGGATTTCGTCAAGGGGTGATCCCTACTAGGTATGTGAGTTCACATAGCGTTGGGTTCGTTCACCCACACACCAAACATGTTTATGTCAGTATGATTTTCGTCCTAATAGATTGAGACTTTGATGTTCTTGAGTTGTATTCTTGAATTAGCGATGACATTGAGGAGTTCTTGAGAGTTTAAGGTCGATTGTTAGAGTTGTTTTGAGTTAGATTCTTGTGTACATACACTGGGTATCTTAATCTAAAGGGAATTTGAGAAAAAGAAACGAGGTTAGGCGAATTGGGGTCAGAAAACAAAGAAGGAAAAAGTCGGCAGAATCTGGGTACTAGGTCCGCGACGCAGACCTGTTCCTCAGGATGGAAAAATTCTCCTTGCGGAGCGGAGTGGTCACGGACCGTTCTGCCTCAAAAGTTATTTCGCTACCAAATAATTAAATGCATCTCCGCATCACAAACTTGCTTCCACACAGTGATTTCTTGATCTTTTCTCATGTTTAACTATCTAAAAACACTCCTAAATATCATGAGATCTTTCCTATCACAAATCACAATCCTTGAATCCATAATTCAATTCAAGGAAAGTTAAGAGTCAAGTCAAGAGAAGCTAAGAGCCAAGTCAAGAGAAGTTAAGAGTCAAGTCAAGAAAAGCTAAGAGTCAAGTCAAGAGAAGTTCATAGAGTCTTCCAAAAGTCTTTTACAAAAGTTTTAAATTTGTTTTAAGACTTGAGTTTTGAGTTGAGTAAAGAGTAAAGGTTGAAGTTCATTTCTTCAAAGAGTGTATGGGGACTATGTATTCCCAAAGAGTTTAAAATATTTTCACATTTAAGCAAGAAAGGAAAGTTTGATTTCCAAAAGAGTCTTTGAGCTAGTTTTTCAGTAAAGAGTAAATGTTTTCACATTTAAACAAGAAAGGAAACTGAGATTTCCAAAAGAGCCTTTGAGCTAGTTTTCAGTAAAGAGTAAATGCTTTCACAATTAAGCAAGAGAGGAAACACTGATTTCCAAGAGAGACTTCGGGCTAGTTTTTGAGTAATTATCTCAAACCACAGAGTTATGTTTTTAAACATAAGAGCTAGTATCATATTTTGGGAGTAGTATTGAGCACCAATATGGGGGAGAGTTCAAACAACTCCCATCCCCCATAAACCATGTAGCCACCATGGGTAGAAAAAGGGCCATGCTCTTTAGATGATTCCTTAGTGCTTTTTAGCATAGACTAGTGGATCCACTTAGTAGTTAGGTTCTATGCCTTTAGCAAAGTATAGGACGGCCCTGGCAGCATGAGGTAAAACGTTATATCATCACAATAGCTCTTAAGTAATGGTTGGCGGTTAGAAAAACTCCCATAGTAGTATTTTGTATTCTTATAAACACAGAGTTAATTGTATTTTTATATACATTCAGAGATTATATTGTATCTTTGCATACATTCAGAGTTACTATTGTATTTATAAATACACAGAGTTGTTATCCATGTTTTAAAAGCTTTTCTTTATATTGCATTTATTTTATACTGTTTTATATTGAAATGAGTTCAGTTAAGTTGAGTTGAGTTGAGCCAGGTAAGTTCTTCAGTTCTTTTCAAGCTTATGTCTTGTTTTAGAATTCCCCTCGCATACTCGTACATTCAATGTACTGATGCCATTTGGCCTGCATCTTTTTATGATGGAAACACATGTTACCAGAATCAGCATCCAGCACATCGTTGATTCTAGTTGAGCTCCAGAGTTTGTTGGTGAGCCTCCTTGTTTCCGGAGGATCCTTTTTTATTGCTTTTTAGTATTTGGTTCATTAGGATGTCATGGGTCTTGTCCCGACATCCATCTCAGTTATTAGAGTCTTCATAGATAGACAATTAGTTAGTTCATTTGTC